GAGGAACCTCCATACCATTTTCCAGAGTGGCTGCACCAGTTTGCATTCCGACCAGCAGTGCAAAGTGTTCCTCTTTTCTCTGCATCCTCACCAACATCTCTTGTTGCCCGGATTGTTAATTTTAGCCATTCTGACAGGTGTGAGGTGGTATCTCATTATGGTTTTGATTTATGTTGAGGAGAGAGAATTTAGGCAGGCTGCATGCACAGCACAGAGACTGACACGGGCTCAATCCCACAACCCTGGGATCATGACCTGAGCTGAAATCAAGAGTCAGAAGCTCAACTAACTGAGCAACCCAGGCAACCATATTTTTTTTAACTTGAAAGATCTTTCTTAACGTTTTGATCATGTTACTAACCACAAACCTAAGTTGCTAGCCCTGTGCTCCACACATACATGTGTATATAATTTTTTAGTTATATATATGTTATTTAAAATGAAGTTTACTATATTACCTGTATTATATTTTTATTATATGTGTATATATTTAGTGGTCTTTTACTTAATGTAAAAGACTTTTACTGTCACAGGTGTATGTCTGACAGTAAAGTTGTTCACCCTATGAAATATAAAACAGTACTAAACATCTTCTGGATATCACATCTCTGTTAATAGTGTTACCATCTGCTCAGTTGCCCAAACAGAGACCTGGGAGTCATCCTATGTTGTATCCCTACACTCCCACCCCAGAGCTTCTGGGACATAGTAGAGTCTTATCAGTTGACTGCTGAAGCAATAAATAAATGATTTGTCTCAAATCTGCTACACTGGCATAAGATTTTTAATTGAGTGGAAGTGTAAACAGTTTAGAAAGGGGTTGTCGTCATTAGGACATGAGTGCCTGAGTCCAACTGCCTGGACTTAGATAAAATTGCTGGGCTACCTGTTGGTTTCGGCTCAGGTCAAGATCTCACAGTTTGTGAGTTCAAGCCCCGCATCAGGCTCTGTGCTGACAGTGCAGAGCCTGCTTGGGATTCCCTCTCTCCTTCTCTCTCACTGCCCTTCCCATGTGCTCTCTCTCTCTCAAAATAAATATGTAAAATTTTAAAAACTGCTAATTCTTTAGGTTTTCTTAGTCTCCATTTCCTAAACAATAAAATGAGGTTAATAGTTCTACTTCATGGGGTGTTGGGTAGATTAAATGAGATAATGTATGTAAGGTATTTATTGTGGTACCTATCACAGCAAAAGGTAGGTATTATTACCATTATTACTACTACTGTTATTACTACTACTACTTTTTCGTTTAATGGTTTCCAAATCCTGGCTAATGTTGCTGATTAATGTTACTTCTAGTATACTCTTTGATAGTTCCAAGTGACATAGGGATGAGAAAGAGGGAGGGAGGGAGAGAGGGAGGAAGAATGAGAATTGTTGCCAGCTGTCTTTTCCTGGAAAAGAATCTTTTAGTCTAAGATTATTTTCTCTTCTTTTCAGTTTTTAAAATCCTTTTGTTTGTGAAATGAAGGATATACTCTTAGTTATTTTTTTTAAATTTTAATGTTTTATTTATTTCTAGGAGAGAGAGAGACAGCGTGAGCAGGGGAGGGTCAGAGAGAGAGGGAGTCACAGACTGAAACAGGCTCCAGGCTCCGAGCTGGCAGTCAGCACAGAGCCCGACGCGGGGCTTGAACCCACAAACTGCGGGATCATGACCTAAGCAAAAGTCGGACGCTTAACCGACTAAGCCACCCAGGCGCCCCTACTCTTAGTTATTTTTAAGTTGAACAGATCTCTGTCCCTTCCCCCAATTTATGTATCTATGTTGGCTTTTAATGTATTTATTTAGTTTAATTATTCATAAAATCCCAATATTTGGAAACCACTGAGACTCAGAGAGGTGGCATTATACACCCAAGGCCACAATGTTTTCCCTCTTTATTCTCACCCCTATATCCCTATTCTTTTTCACCAAGAAATTTAGAGGTTAGCCAGAAAAAAAAAAGGTTAATCCCACAGAACAGTAAAAATGTAAGCTTTCAAAATAAGTTATAAACCTAAAGGTAGACTTTTGTTCTTAAAAATTAAATGATAAATCACTCCTACTTCAAAAATTTAGTGATTGCAGGGGTGCCTGGGTGGTTCAGTAGCTTGAGCATGTGAGTTCAGCTCAGGTCATGATCATGTTCATGGGTTTGAGCCCCGCATCGGACTCTGTGCTAACAGCTCAGGGCCTGGAGCCTGCTTTAGAGTCTGTGTCTCCCTTTCTGCTCTTCGCCAGTTCACGCTCTGTCTCTCTCTGTCTCTCAAAAAATAAAACATTAAAAATAAGTTTTTTCTAATTTAGTGATTACAGTAGAGATAGAAGGACATCAGATATTTTGAATATTTTGCCTTACAGTGGAGTCTCTTTATCATTTACTCCTTGGGAACAGGCACATTGCAGACTGAAAGAATAGTAAAGAAAGCAATTGCAGGTTACTCAGTTTCTGTATATACTTTATTTTGGCTTGTGAAAGTTCTTTTACAAGTTTTTTACAAGTTCTTTTACTCTCATTGCCCTTCCCCCATGAGTGTGCTGACTCTCTAAATAAATAAATAAACAAACAGACGTTAAAAAAACTGGTTTCCCTTGTTTAGACTTTTCAGCTCAGGTTATGATTTCACAGTTTGTGGGATTGTGTCTTGTACATAGTCTGGATAAATTCATATTCAGTGAGTTCTTCCAGTTTCTAGACAAGCCTCTACTTCACATCAACATGATCATTATCTTAGAAAATTCTTGCCAAAGTCTTAATCCCCCAGTTTGGGCAAAAGTGCTTTGTCATTCATCCAGGATACATTCCCCAGTGTTTGGACCAATGCTGAATAGGTCATTTATTTTGATGAAGAAAGTGTGGAAAAACTCTAGTAAACTATATGTAGTATATTCTTTATACACAAATGTTGTGTGTTATTAATGTCTTTCACAGTGTGCACTTCACAGTATTTCAGCCAAATTGACCTAACTCAAGGTTAGGTTGCCATGTGTGTTACAACTTCTTGTCAAAGATGTGGCAGGAAAAAAAAGCATGAAGCAGATTTTCTAGTCCCTCCAGTGAAATGAGCCAACTCCTTCTCCCTCATCACCATTCTACCAGGCAGGGAGCATCTTCACCCTGGTTGTGCCTCAGCTGCTGTGGCATCAGCAATAGCAGGCAGAGAAGGAAAAACAAGGGAAAGCCTAAAACAACACCCATGACTAGGCTGGGCCACAGGCTGTGTAATTATAAAAAAATATCTTTTATATCTAATGTGAAGAATTTCATGTAGTTCTGGATTTTTATCGTCTTCAGGATCAGAGTTCTTGGTATATCCCTAAAGGACTAATTTTTTTTTTTATGCTTCTTCCCACCTCCCTTACCTGCTTTCTCCACCTCATGACTGTCTTGGTGACAAAGTAGCCAAAAGTAATGTATGCCTTACTTCCCCTTTTCAGTTTATGTCCATGGTGTACTGATGTTTGTTTGTTTGTTTGTTTTGGTGTACTGATGTTTAGAGGTAAAGGCACACTTTACACATTTAAATGGGTATGTGGGCATACTTTTTATTTTTTTCTTTTCAATTTTTTATTTAAATTCTAGTTAGTTGACATACAGTGCAATATTGGTTTCAGGTGTAGAATCCAGTGGTTCATCACACACTTTTGTTTTAAAACCAATTTGATGTAAAGATGAAGACTTAAGGAAGAATAAGGGAAGTTTTTCTGTGCCTGTTTGCTTGCTCTGTCTTACCTTGTCTCTTGCAATTCTCTTTTCCTTCCTTCGTTTCTACTTTCCTATATCATGTAACAATTCCTATAAACATTATTTGACTTTATTGGTAGCCCTTATGCCTGAATAGGTGAGACATAGCTCAGAGTAGATCTGTTCATTCCTGCTGAAATGTTAATCCATTTTGCAGTGCACTGTGATGAAACAGATAACTTATCATGCCTGGGAGCAGGTTAAATAATTGCTTTTGCAATTTGTATTCCTTCTGCCTGAAATATCTTTCTCTTTCCCACCTCCATCTATTCCTTATTTAAAAGACCTACCTTAAATGTAATGGCATCTTCTCCTAGTTAGTGACTACTACGACATATTTTTGATACCTCCAATAGCTCATTTAAGATTGTTTTATTATTGTTTTTTACATGTCTCTCATTAGACTGAGATTTTGGGGTGGGGGATAGGAACTGTATTTTCCTAGATTTGATATTCAAGAAATGTTTTTGACCATTCATTCTTCATTGGATAAGCCTATTCACTGTTTTTAAGGCCTTCACAATCTAATAATGGTGATACATCGATCACAGATAACCATAATATGAACTAGAATGTAGTCCCTGCGACAAAGGAGGAGGAAATCACTTCTTGCTGTGGGAATTAGAGATACGTAGGTTATCTCAGGCTTTGTGGATGAGGCAACATTTAAAATGTGCCATGAAGGATAAGTGTAAAATGTGAAATTAATGGGATCTAGCTATTTTTTATTTCTTGATGGCTTTATTAGAAATAGTTTAAGTGCATGGGAACTATATTATTAGACATATATTCCAAAGCCTTAAACCTAGAATTAGTTTCCTTGTTTTTGATTTGAAAGCATTCATCAGTTGATATATACAAAAGAATGTAATGTGTGTGTGTCAGGGGTGGGGTATCAATTTGTTCACTATCTTTGTGGATTTAAATCACAAATTCAGGAATTAGGATTAGATTAAAAAAATTTTTATGTTTTATTTATTTTTGAGAGAGAGAGAGTGACAGTGTGAGCAGGGGAGGGTCAGAGAGAAAGGGAGACACAGAATCCGAAGACAGGCTCCAGGCTCTGAGCTAGTAATCAGCAAGAGCCCCACGTGGGGCTCGAACCCACAAACCACGAGATCATGACCTGAGCTGAAGTTGGATGCTTAACCGACTGAGCCACCCAGGTGCCCCTAGATATTTTTCATCTGTCTGAATGTTACCAACCAAAAGAGGGCATGAAATTTTGATGTATTTCTGTCCTATTGGATTGATTTTCTCTATTCATTTTAGCCACAGATCCCTTTGCTTCTGTTTTTGGAAGTGAATCATTCGAAGATGGATTTGCTGACTTCAGCACATTATCAAAGGTAATCTGCAATGATTAAGTGGGAAAGTAAAATACACTGTGTTTCTACCAGTGGAACAATCCTTCTTTCAATTATGTAGCCCTCACAGACATTGCAACTTGATTTCAGCAAGTTACTGTAAATGTTGATTTCAGATAGAAATGATAGGTAAGATATAAGTAAAGTAGACATATTTCTTTACATAAAAACGGTGGTGATGGTACAGGTAATTATAATTTTCTACTTATAGGTTCAACAACTTCATTTTAAGAGTCTTCTGCCTTTTTTTAAAAAAAAAATGTTTATTTCTTTACTTTTGAGAGAGAGTGAGGCTGGAGGGGCAGAGAGAAAATTCCAAGCAGGCTCCATGCTGTCAATACAGAGCCTAAAGTAGGGCTGTTTGACTGAGCTACCCATGTGCCCCAAGTCTTCTGCCTTTTTAAACATATTTCTTCCAGTTGATGGGGCGCCTGGGTGGCTCAGTAGGTTAAGCGTCTGACTTCGGCTTTGGTCATGATCTCACAGTTCATGAGTTCAAGCCCTGCGTTGGTCTCTGTGCTGAGAGCTCAGAGCCTGGAGTCTGCTTTGGATTCTGTGTCTCCCTCTCTCTCTGACCTTCCCCTGTTCATGCTCTACCTCTTTCTCAAAAATAAATAAACATTTAAAAAAATTAAACATATTTCTTCTAGCTGAACTATATTACCCCCTGTTGACTGGGTCAATACCTATAAAATCTGGGCATTCATTCCATCTTCTCTGCATTGGTTACTTCATTTTATGTTCTGAAGCTGTTAGGGTTAGTATTAAGATACTTAATACGCTTAGTCCAGCTCTGTATGTCCACTACCTATTTTCCAGTGTGGCTCTAGGATTGATTCAGACCAAAAGAGTAAAATTAGACTATATGTAAAATTGTCTATCTCATTGGTTCTCAGCTGGATGTGGTTTGCCCCTCCCCCACCCTCAGTTATTTGGCGTTGTCTAGAGACATTTTTGGTTGTCACAACTGGGGAGGGGGACTATTCATATCTAGTGGATAGAGACCAGGGGTGCTGTTAACATCCTACAGCTCAGTGGGTCTCCCCACAACACAGAATTATATACAGCTCACATTTTAAGTAGTACTGTAGAAAAACACCAGCCTAAATGTGATCTAAACTCATAATGTCTGATTCATTATAGAAAAGTGAATCTTTCATTACTCCAGGTGTTAGAAAGACATATTAAGACTTGTCATTCCATGGTATCAGTTTGCTTTTAAAAATTGACTTTCAGGTTGTTTTTAATGTTTTTCAAGATGCTATTTTCTTTGGCATTAGTATTAAATCTTTCCTATGTTTAAGTGCATTGGGAAGTGTGGAATCAATATTTTTTTTCTTTATCATTTCGATCAGATATTCATTTGAGGAAAAACATATAGTCCCTTTAAAATGGGCCTCAGGTTCCCTGAAGCTTTAAAAACTTAAAAAAAAATTTAATGTTTATATTTAAGAGAGAAAGAGAGAGAGATAGAGTGCAAGCAGGAGAGGGGCAGAGAGAGAGGAAGACACAGAATCCGAAGCAGGCTCCAGGCTCCAAGCTGTCAGCACAGAGCCTGACATGGGGGCTTGAACTCATGAGCCATGAGATCATGACCTGAGCTGAAGTCTGACACTTAACCGAGTGAGCCACCCAGGTTCCCCAAGCTTGAAAAACTTTTAATCCAGAGTTGGCCTGTTTTGGTATCATCTGTTGCTTTTAATAAATAGTGATGTTATAATCACAACTCATATAGAACAGTTTTTTAAGAATTTCTCCCTTTTGGCCCTGAATGCAAAGGTTAACATGTCAGTGTTCTCAGAATTGAAATAAATATAGTTGCATGATAACTGAAGATCATTCTCCTAAATGTTACATGACCATATATAATTTGGTTGGTAATTTATATAACCATGTATAACATTTCTTTTCAAACAAAGGTCAACAATGAAGATCCTTTCAGTTCAGCCACATCGAGCTCTGTCAATAATGTGGTAATTAAAAAAAATGTGCTTGATGAAACATCAGTCCGAAGTGAAGATGTACCCCCAGCACTGCCACCAAAGATTGGAACTCCAACAAGACCCTGCCCACCACCACCTGGTATGAGAATTGGTATCTTTCTTAAGTCAGCTGAGATGCTTTTTCTCTTCCTGAAAAATATTGGTGTGGGCCTTATAGACTTAGATAAAGAGCTTTAAACAAAACAAGTCAAAAAACATGGCAGAAGCTGTTCTGACCTCCATACAGAATTACAGACATGTACCTAAGAGGCTAGCATGTGTAACATGAACCACTTTTCTGGCAAGAGCTCATTTCTTTTTAAATCATTTTAGAGAGGCAGTAAATGGAAAGGACAGTATCAGTGAAATGGCTTGCTTTTTGGAAGCTCATTGATTACCATTTACCCAACAGTTTCCTTCACTTTGGTGCTTTAATTAAATTAATTTCTGTAAGAGAATATTAAGCTGAAGTCCCCTTCTCTTCCTGCCCAATGCAAAGTCTTCCTTAAATCCTTTAATGTGAAAATATATGGCCTTTTGGTATCCAGAATTCAGCAACATAGTGATTTAAAAGAATGTATTGTTTTTCTTGAAGGAAAATAATTATCTTACCTCACTTATTTCTATTTTTAGAAAATAAAGGAATATTTTTGGTCCAGGAATAAATGCTTAATATTCTTAGTTTTTTGTTTTGTTTTGTTTTGTTTTGTTTTTAGAAGTGGCTAAAAAGGCAATCCCTGAGTAGGTGTAATGCAGCGAGGCTGTTATGTGAGAAGACCTATTTGGTACATGGTTATTTTAATCACATATCACTCCTTGGCAAATTTTTAGCCACAGTAGTTACAGATTTTTATGCTTGCCTTTCGTAATAACCTCCCTCCCTGTGGTATTTCTTGGGTAGATTATTTTTTCTTTTTTGACTTAAAAAATTGCATGTACAATTGTTAATAGTCAATTATCTGTTGAAAAAACAGGTAAGCAAATTAACTGATTTCTATCTTTTAAGGAAAAGAAGCCTATATTATATATTTCTAAAGGGTAAGATTGCCAGAATATATTAAAAAAACAAATAAGTCAACAAATAATCTCATTAAAAAATGGACAGAAGACATGGATAGACATTTCTTCAAAGAAGACATGGCCAACAGACCTATGACAGGATGCTCAAAGTCACTCATCATCAGGGAAATACAAGTCAAAACCACATGATATCACTTCACACCTGTCAGAATAGCTGAAATCAAAAACACTAGAAACAACGAGTGTTGATGAGGTTGTGGAGAAAAAGGAACCTTTGTGTACTATTTGTGGGAATGCAAGCTGGTGAGGCCAGTTTGGAAAATAGCATGGACATTATTCAAAAAATTAAAAATAGAAATACCATGTGATCCAGTAATTCCACTACTGGGCATTTACCCGAAGAATGTGAAAATACTAATTTGAAAAGATATATGCACCCCTAATTTATTGCAGCATTATATACAATAGCCAGAATATGGAAGCAGCCCAGATGTCCATCAGCTGATGAATAAAGAAGATGCAGTGTGTGTGTGTATGTATATGTATATACATATATACATACACACACATGCATACTACAGTGGAATATTACTCAGCCATAAAAAAGAATGAAATCTTTCCATTTACAACAACATGGATCTAGAGAGTGTAATGCTAAGTGAAATAAATCAGAGAAAGACAAATACCATACGATTTCACTCATATGTGGAATTCAAGAAACAAAACAGATGAATAAAGAAAAAAAAGAGACGAACCAAGAAACAGACTTTTAACTATAGGGAATAAACAGATCATTACCAGAGGGGAAGTGGGTGGGGGCTGGGTGAAATAGGAGAAGGGGATTAAGAGTTATAGTGATGAGCACTGAGTGATATATAGAATTGTTGAATCACTGCATTGTACACCTGAAACTAATAGAATACTGTATGTTAACTCTAATGGACTTAAGAAGGAAAAGAAAAAAAAATGAGTTTGCTCATTTAAGTTTTATACCTGTAGGAGGCCAATAGAGAAGTTAGTTTTTAAATCCTAAGTAAAATAATATATTAGTGCTTTAACTAAATCTAAGGATCTTCAGCAAAATTAGTATAAATCACTATAGAAGTATCAAGGAAAAAAGGATGGTTTGTTGGAGAGAGCACTAGACTGGGAGCTTAAAGATCTGGGTGCTAAATCTGGATGTCCTCATACTAGCTCTGTGATCTTGAGTGTGTCATTTCATATGTCTGAGCCTCAGCTGTCTGAGCTGTTGGTGGCAAAAACTCCAATTTTGCCTACCTTCACAGGATTGTTAGAAGGATCCTATGAGATATGAACATCTTCTGTAAGCTGCTACAGTGATGAAAACACTCTGTTGTGATTGCTATGAGCAGCTTAACAAATTTTAGGAAAAATACATATTTGAAAATATTTAACCCCTATATTTATCATTTTCCTTCAACAAGTACTAAGTTAAGACTTTAGAGAACTTGCTTGAAAATGGTGATAAGTTGAGCAACAGCACGCTATTGTTTGATCAAAGATTAGTTAATCAGCAAACACAAAAGTTTAGGCCCTGGGCTTCAAAACATTCTCTTTATTCTTCAATTTGAAATACTGTAGATGGCAAGAAGTAGGTGGGGTTCTCCAAGGTAAGTTTTAATCATGTTCTCAAGCGTTTTATATATATATAGATAGAGATATAGATAGATCCAGAGAAAAGTCAGAAGAATATAGTCATTTTTCAAAGGTCATTTGCCTTTATTGCCTGTCTGTCAGGCTGAGGTTATAACAGCAGAGGCCATTTCTGTCTTTATTTTTTGTCATTCCCTCCTGTTTCATCCTTTCCTCTCTCTCTCTTCTTGGAAACATGCTGCTTTGGGGAAGACAGGTTAGTCTCTGGGGAGAAATGATTCCTGGCCCATTCCCTTCCCCTTTGCTATTTTTTCATTTAGCAACATAGAGCTGGAATGTATTTGAGAGGTGTGTGAAAAAGATGACCGACTGTTGGTGTGGTCATTAAAGACCATACTAAAAATGTGTTTTAGGCACTCACCTCCCTTCCCTCACCCCTAGTTCTTTAATGCTCTGTGTTCATGTTCTTACGTGCTTGCCATATTTGCTGGTTGAGTTAATTGTAATGATTTTGATCCAGGAAAAAGACCCATCAACAAATTGGATTCTTCTGATGCTTTTAAACTGAACGATCCATTTCAGCCTTTCCCAGACCATGATAGCCCCAAAGAAAAAGATCCTGATATGTTTTGCGATTCATTCACTTCTACTACTACCACCACTACCACTACCAATAAAGAGGCCGACCCAAGCAATTTTGCCAACTTTAGTGCTGTAAGTACTGTGAATGGGCTGGTTGGGGGAAGATCTTTCAATTTATAGTTTAAAGAGTTTTCAAAGATTACTTTGGAGTCTGCCAAATTTGCATCATTTCAACTAAATTTACCAACATACAAAAACTGATCTTTATTCCTTCCCCAACCAAAATTTCTGTTTGATTCTGTTTTGATGGTTCTAACATTGTTCCATTGTACAAATGATTTTAGCATTCTTAGTTCTTTGGATATATACCAGTTGTTTTGCAAAACCTTCTCTTAGTCTTAGTAAACAATATAAATGAAATCTTGACAGTTACTATTTTGCAAATTGTTATGGATGATGGGCCATTAGAGAGTCATTTGCTGTCTGCCCACTGGATGAATAAGGGCAATAATTAGCTTATGTATTTGTAACTGTGTATGTGTGTTTGTGTATAAAGTTTTGATGATTTCTGGAGACCTGTCAGCAACTATTCTATGAGGATAAGGCCAAGGATTTTTTGAATAGAAGGAGAAACTCTGGTTTTAGCATTTTAAAAATGTAAATGTCAGTTTTATGAAATAAATACAGTTGTTAAGCTAAACAATCTGTAATTATTTGGAGGGCTCTAATTCACAGTTAGAAATTCCATAAATTCCATATTTACTCTGCATTCTCCCAGAGCTGACTGAAATAGACAGACCATTAAAAACAATGGAAGAATGCTGTGATAACCCATAGGCAAGGGCTATAAGATCACAGAAATGGAGTAACCAACTATGGAGGTGTCACTCTGGAGGGACATAAAGCAATGATATGTACTCTATCATCATTTACATAAAAACAAAGCTTTTCTTAAATAAAATTCTTAGAGTAGCTAACAAAAGTTTCATTTTCCTAGATTTTTTTAAGGCAATGACTTTCATTGCCTCTTCTATAATAAAGGAATTTTCCTCTACTGATCACGTTAGGCCCTTGAGATGTGTTTGGAAATAGGAGATCTGGGTAACCTTGGCCACAGTCTGCCTAATGTCCCCCTCAGTATAGCTTTGGGTCATTCAAACAGGCATTTTATCTCTATAGCCACTTCTAGTTGGAAAGGAGGTAGCCAGGAATCTGCATCACACAAAATTAAACTAAGCTACTCAGCTTTCTTTCTTTTTTGTCTAGCTTTTGACTATGTACTCCATAGTCATAGGAGAAGACCAGTGGCTTTTTCTGAATGTGAAGGAGCAGAATAGGAATCAATATTTTGAATACTGGAAAGTGGAGTGTCAAAATTATACTGACTTAACTTTATTAGATAGAATTTGAATTGTTTCAAGCAGAGAATCCAGAATTGCTCTCTTTGGAAAATTATAATCCGCTTAATATAAAATACCTGCTGGCCATGGTATTTAATATCTTAAATATGATTTCAGCAAGTCAGAATCTCATTGGAATAAGTCTTGAACAATACTGGAGGCATTTTACTTATTTTATACTTGAGAATTTCAACATAGTATAATATAAAGCAACTCATAATAAAAATGTCTGCTTTCCTTTTTTCATTATGAAAGAGTTGTTCAGTATTATAAGTTTCAAAGTACCTCCAACTCACTGGGGAAAAAGCTACCATATTCAAAAAGCCTGACAATTTCTTTAATTTCATCCTGTTATGGTATTCCTCTGTATGACAGAACTTCAAACCAAGTAAAACTTTTTTATTTAGTATCTGTCAATGTTGCTGTTTTGAGTAGATAAAAACATTTCCCTGACTAGTGTTAAAGTTTAAGGTTTTATTAGTGTTAATTGTATATTTTTATTTAGACTGAGTCAAAAAGTTCTCAGTGCCTGCAAAAGTCTTTACAATGCATAAAAAAATAATTTGGTCCACATCTTGTTTAGTATACCCAGTATTCTTATTTTATGTATAGCAAAATCAGCATATTCTTGCTACATAGTTTTTCTGTAGCTGAAAGCAAGGGTAAGGTAGGAAATCATCAGTGGGATTAAGTTGAAATAATTGATCATGTGAGGATGTTCCCTGAGGTTGAAGTAATAAATGTTTTGCATTAGATTAGATTAAAAAGCTAGCCTACCAGTTTGTAACTGTCCTAATTCACCTTCAGCATTTCTACTTTTTAAAAGTGTTTTAATATTTAGTTTTACAGACTTTCTATTGCAGTAGACTGCAATAATTTTTAAAATTGAACCACATTTAATAACTGTAAAAATGTGTTTTCAGGAAAAATAATTTAACAAGTAGCAAATAAGACTATTCCCATAGTCCCTGCAGGTGAACCAAGTAGTTAATGTCCTTTGTAACAACTGTTTTCCTTCTTATTTGTTTTATTCATTAACTTACTTGTTTATCTGTCTTAAATGGCAGTATCCTTCAGAAGAAGATATGATTGAATGGGCCAAGAGGGAAAGTGAGAGAGAGGAAGAGCAGAGGCTTGCCCGACTGAATCAGCAAGAGCAGGAAGACTTAGAACTGGCTATTGCACTCAGCAAATCTGAGATATCAGAAGCATGAAGAATTCTCCTGTCCTTTGTCAACCATACAGTATTCTTCTTCCCGAATACTGAAGCTCTATACAGTGTGTATGAAAACTACCTATGAGCATGGGAATACAAAAGGTTTGAGATTCCTGTAAATGTGACAAAAGTTTGTTTTTGTTTTTTACTCCATTTCAGATTTGTCTTTTTTTTCCCCCTGTAAAAGCAGTAACCCAGTCAGACAACTTCAGCTAGGCCCCTATTCTGATGTGCATTTACTGTGAGCTTTTGCCTGCCTGTGCTTTTACTTGTAAAGCTAGAGCACCCAAGCTTCTGCCTTCTGGAATATAGAGAAATAGTTTCATCCCTGTGCTACCCCTTGTTCTGTAGTTACTCTGATGATAGCCAGTGGGGTTCTTAAAGTTTGCAGTACTCTTCTCTGATTTGAATGGTTGAGGGAGGGGAAGGGAAAGAACATCCTATTTCTTTTACGATAGTGAAAATTGGCTAGTTTAAAGTATATGTTTGTATTTCCTTATAATTGAAATACCGTTCAATTTGTTTTTTATAGACAAGGAAAAATATTTTGCATAAATTGACTCCACTATTGAAAAAGGGATGCTTTAGATTGAACCATTATAGCTTCAGACTCAATCTTTTCCTAAATAAAAACGTTAAAGCCTCATGTGTGAAATATATTTTTAAAAAATTTCTCTGGATTTAAAGAATTTTAGATGAACAGATCACCTCTCCATAATTTTAAGTGCTAGATAGTGGAGAAAAAAGTTAATCACCTAAAATACACTCATCGGTATAAGGTAAGCAAAAATGTTAACATGGCAGCCATTCTGCCATTGCTATGGCACTGTCCTCCTTAGTTCATGGTAGGATTATTTTTATACTTTGCAGAAGAAACTTTAGTAAGCTAGAACTGGAAGGTACTTTAAATTGTTGTATATATATATATTTTTGTTTTCTTTAATGAAGGCTCACTTACTTGAAATGTAAAAACTTCCACCGAATACAAATGAGAGAAATGACATGTATTAAAACATATTATTGTTTTTTGTCCATCTTTGTGGTTTAAAATAGTTAATTCTCTTCCTGTTTGTTTTTTTTACCTGTAAAATTGGCAGGCTAGCAAAAAAATCTTGTCTTTTTTTTTTTAATTGGGAGAAAAGAGACCTGCCAAATTGTCAAAGCTCTTCATGTGTTAAAAGCCTGTCTCCTGTAAAACTGACCTAGCAGACAAGCTGAATTCGAAATAGACTGTGATATAGGCTGTAAATTGTAGAATAACCTTAGTTTTCTTTTAACATCAGTTATTGACTTATATAATGTATTGAGTACCAAGATAAAGAAATATGCACCTACAAACTAAAAGTCTCTGTGGTCACCAAGTCAAGGTGGTATTGATCTGTGTTAATCAGAGTAACTTATTGCTTAGCCTATGAATAAATTCCAAAATACCCAATTCATTTTATCTTGAAATGGTGCTTTTATTTCTCTCCACACACAATTTAAAACAAACTTAAACCACATTCTTGCACTGCTAACTTTTTTCTACTTTTATAAATTGAAACATTTCAGCATAAAAGTTATACATAGGAAGCAAGGGCTGACTCATAAGGCTTTAATTTTGGTAAACTAATCCAGTGACCTAAGGTATACAACACAAGTTGATTGAGAGGATAGTGTTGGGAGTTACGTTAGGTAATGGTTTTGGATTTTTTTTCCTTCCCCTTACACTTCAGGAAAAAGGTAAGTTGACTGGAATAACCTTTTGCACTGGGAAAATGAACAGATGTTTGAAATGCTTTTAAAATATTTTTTTTTTAATTAAACCACTCTGGAAAATATTAAATATCTGTAACTTATAAACACCAACCTTCGATGTAATAAATGTACCCTAATCTTATGTATGTTTAACTGGATTACATAGATTCTTATCTTTTGTTAAAATATGTATACTCAGTGGACCAATATAATATTAAAGTATGTATATATTATATAATTATATATATATATATCTCGCTCCATGCTCACTCGTAGAGGCTGAATGTCTTAGAGTCTTTTGTGATTACATTTTACGCCACTAACTCTGGCTGCAGAGCCTGTGCTTTAAAAGGGCAGATGAGTATTCCTGAGAGCTAAGTGGCACTACTTAGAAAGTTTTAGCCATCTTTCACATACTTGTTCAAATTTATTTGGGCTCTCTATAGACTTTTCTCATGTTTCAAACTTCTAAATTGTAGCCTGTAATTATGAGAACAATAAACTTTAATAATAAAGCATATTATCCATACATCCAATTTGAAATGGAGTTTTACAGTTCTCTGTTATGTCCATCCTGTGTCCAAGGAGGGGTAGGTGTACAATCAGCACTGATTATTATGCGTAAAGTGCTTGAGGCAGTGCCTGGCGTAGAAAAAACCCTCAATAAGTGTTAACTATTATTTTTAGTTATCAGGTCCTGTTTTTGTGAAGAAAGATAGGAAATGTATATGCATAGAAACAGTATCTGAAACATACATGGCTTTGTATATATTTGTTGAGTGAGGATTTGTGACATGGACCTAAGAGGGCACCATGGTATAAAAAATTCATGCAGTCCTGGGATTGAATCCCTAATCTGCCATTTTGGAGAAAGATGACTTTGAGAAACTTGTTTAGCCTCCCTGAGCCTCATTTTCGTTATCTAATGAATATCATAATACTTAACTCATAGGATTGATCTGAAGGATTTCAGTTTGGCAGCTTTTTAATGTTATTTTAATTAAACAAAATCAACCATGTTATTATTGGTAGTAAAAATAGCTATTGGTCTCCTTGGAATGGCAGTGTGAGAGCGGAGTATGGGAGGAAAGGCATTTAGAAAGTTTCCATCTTTGACCAAGGTTTTTGGGTTTTTTGTTTTGTTTTCTTGTTTTGTTTTTGAGAGAGAGAGCATGCATGTGAGAGCATGTATGTGGGGGAGAGGGCAGAGGGAGAGGGAAAAAGAACCTTAAGCAGTCTCCACACCCAGCATGGAGCCTGATGTGGGGCTTGATCTCACAACTCTCATGACCATGAGCTCATGACCTGAACCAAAACCAAGAGTCGAATGCTTAACCAGCTGAGCCATCCAGGCGCCCTTCTTTGACCAAGTTTTAGTTGAAAGGTGTGCAGCTGAAATTGTAACCAAAGAGGAGGCATCAGGTTTCCAGGAAAATCTAAATAAAAGAAAAGTATTACAAACAACAGTAGTAGCTATTGGATAGGGCTCTAAAGGTGGAGAGATTTCCACCAGTTGTGTGAAAGTTACAAAGTTCTTCTTCCAGAATAATGGAGACACCAGAGCAGTTCAAGATGACAAGGATTACCTCTTATTTAAAGATGGTGACATTCTTGGAAAGTATGTAGACTGAAATAAGTCATTATTGAAATGATTTTCACGTGAAGCTGCCATTTCACTGAAGTTCTGGAATTTTTCATCATGTAAATAATTACCATTTCTCTTATAATTAATTATATCTTTTAAAAAAGGAAAAAAAAAAGCCATTGATTATTGAATACATGTTGCATGTGAAGCACTATACTAAGCACTTTATCTGTGTTTTCTTGTTTAATTTTACAACAGCCCTAAGTAGTACTATTATTCTCTATTTTGAAATGGGTAAACTGAGGCTCAAAAAAATTAAAATAAGTAGATTAGCTGGGAATTGAACTCTGGTCTCTCTGATTCTAAAACATGATACTCTTTCCATTTACCATGCTTTGTTTTGTTTTTGTGAAAAAGTTTGCTTCTAGGAAATACTAAGAACAGGACATGATAAATAATAACAAATAATATATTAAGCTTCAGGCTGGATCCTTAATGCTTTACATATATAAGTTCATTTAATCCTCACAATAACAGTAACTCTGTAACATACTAATAATGATGATTATTGTTGTTGTCCCCATTTTAAAGAAGAGATGCCCCACTAAGCCATGGTTGGGTCACTAGTAAGTGGCAGATTTGCCACTTTTGAACTCAGGAAGCTGGCCCCAGAGTTCTTTTATTAAAGGTGAGAAGCCAGAGGAGAAATATCATAAATAAAATTACCTGTGTAATATCTGCTCTTGATTAATGAAATAGACCTACTACATAGCACATGGCTTCTTAAAAACATTTTTCAATCACTATCATACTTAATCCTTATAAGGATTTAGAATAATGTCTGACACATGAAAACACTCAACAATTGTTATTAACATTACCATAAGTGATAAATAAGTACATAGGGGAGATGGTCAATGTTGCTTTTATTAAAGAAATACAAATTTTAGGGTTGCCTGGGTGGCTCAGTTGGTTAAGTGTCTGACTTCGGCTCAGGCCATGGTCTCACGATTCGTGGGTTCGAGCCTTGCGTCAGACTCTGTGCTGACAGCCAGCTCAGAGCCTGGAGCCTGTTTTAGATTCTGTGTCTCCCTCTCTCTCTGACCCTCCCCTGCTCATGCTGTCTGTCTCTCAGAAATAAATAAAATGTTTTTAAAAATTAAAAAATATATATACACATTTTAAAATCACAAAGGTAACAACATTGAAAAATAGTTTATCAGTACTTGCAAAGCTCTGAAAAATCCATTAAAAGGTAGGCAAAGAGTGGTTTTTGAAAGGTTGCTGCACAGATAAAGGGACAAGGCATTCTGGGCAGAGGCAATGGCTATATATAAAAGACAAAGGGAGGGTGCCTGTGTGGCTCAGCCCAGCTCCTGGTCATGATCCCAGGGTTGCAGGATTGAGCCGGGCGTCAGGCTCTCTGCTGAGCATGGAACCTGCTTAACATTTTCTCCTTCTCTTCCTCTGCCTTGCTCCCCTGCTTACATGCACTTGCTCTTTACCTCTCTTGCTCTCTCTCACTCTCAAAAAAGAAAGAAAGAAAAAGACAAAGGGGTAGGACATAGTATAGTGTGCTAGCAAGCAGCAGGTATCAAAGTAATTCACTGTAACTAGAGTTTAGGTCTATGGGCGAGGAGTGAAGTATTTGTGTTTGTATGTAAGAAAGATCTTATTAGTGGTGATTTGGAGGATTGCTTTAGGGGGATATCAGGCTAGGCAGGAAGAGGAGGTGAAGGTTGCTGATATCATTCAGGTGAGATGGGAAGGAGCTAAAATGTGGCTATGGCTGAGGCCTGAGAGATGGGGACCAATTTAGGAAAATTAACAGGCCTTCAAGGCTGATTAGATGTAGATGTTGAGTGGAAAGGAGTGATTCACAAACTTTAACAAGCATCAGGATCACCTGGAGGGCTTATTAAAATATAGATTGCAACCCCATCCAGAGTTTTTCTGATTTCCATAGATCTAGAGTTGGACACAAGAATTTGAATTTCTAACAAGTTCCCAGATGATGCTAAAGTTGCCGGCCCCAGGTACCTAACTCTGAGAACCACTGGAGTACAGGTTAACTTCCAAGCCTCTGTTCTGCAAGTTTTATTAAATCTACTAATTTAGTTTCCCATGCTGTTGCACCTTGTCATTCTATACTTGACTTGTGGATTTTGCTTCATAATGTAAAGCACTTCCATTCTTTTTTGTGGATATTTTTTAAATTTTTTAATGTTTATTTATTTTTGAGAGAGAGAACAAGCCGGGGAAGGGCAGAGAGAGGGAATCACAGAATCCGAAGCAGGCTCTGAGTTCTGAGCTGTCAGCACAGAGCCTGATGCGGGGCTCGAACCCACAAACCGCGAGATCATGACCTGAGCCAAAGTCGGACACTTAACCAACCCAGGCGCCCCTTTTTTTGTGGATAGAGTTATTTAAAAACAATAATTGGAAGCTAACAACTGGCACTATGTGCCAGTACTATTTGAAGCACTTTATATATAATGAGTCATTTTATTCTCCGTAACAATCCTTTAAGTTAGGTACTATTATTTCCAGGGTTTTTTTTAAATTTTTTAATGTTTTATTCTGAGAGCGTGAGCAGGGGAAGGTCAGAGAGAGAGGAAGATAGAGATCTGAAGCAGGCTCCAGGCTCTGAGCTAGCTGTCGTCACAGAGCCCGATGCGGGGCTCGAACCCACGAATCATGAGATCATGACCTGAGCTGAAGTCGGACGCTCAACCGACTGAGCCACCCAGGCACCCTGTTATTTCCAGTTTAAAGACAAGGAACTAAAAAGTGCCCCAGCTAGGATTCAAACCCAGGCAGTCTGGCTCCAGAATCCATCCTCAATCACTCTACTCTGCTGCAAAAACTTTAAGACACTTCAATGCATAGATTTCTTACTGGCAGAAATCCCTATATGTCTGAGTGTTGGAAATGTACAGTGAGAAAATCAGTCATTCCTTTTACCTTTTGCTAAGGCGTATTGTGTTTTAAGTGCTGTGCTGGGCTAGGGACAGAGAAGACTCTTATGAGGGCCTCACCATCGGTGGTGATACAGTAGGAGGGATAAACATCTACTCTCGATTAATTCCACAACATTGCACACTGAGGATTATAATAGGAATGCTGGGACACCCAGAGGAAGGAGAGAACAGTGCTAGCCCAGACGATTGGGGAAGGCTTCCCAGAGGAGGTGCTCCTAGGGCATAGTATTCAGCTTCTAACATTAGTAAAAACAGATGGTTACTAGAAATTTTAAAAAAGTATAGCTCTCACAAGGCCATACTGTTTAATGTCAGGGCCCTGTTGACTGGGAAATGCTGACATTCAGTCTCCAGGAGGCCTCTTAAGCAGCATTTATTAATTAGTGAATTCAGCCTGGCCCAAGGTCTGCCCTTCAAATTTAGAAACTTGATTTTCATTAGTAAAACAAAGCTCCCGTTAAGCAAGTTCACAGGGACTAATGTAGAGACCAGAACGCCATTTTCCAGCAAAAGTTGCCATAGGGCTTAGAACACCCATAATTGGTTGAACAAGCTCCCCTCTTGCCGGTGGCGTCCAGATGCGTCCTGCCTCTGAAGCTCCTCTCTGCAGCCAGGCTGCCTGGGCCATCTGATGAACACATTTTTTAGATTAATATGTTTAATCAGGTTACAGTCTGGTTTGGCTGGTTGGGTAGCTATAGCTAGTCTCTCTTTGAGTTGACTTTGCATATCTCTGCTTTCATCTACTGTATGTGGACTCTATGGCTTTACTCCTCCTGAAGCCCTTTCCCCAATTTGAGTTTTTTCGTGAAGTATCTCAGTGCCCAGCTTTGATTCCACCTTTTCATTGACCATATTATTTATTGTGTGTATATATACCAGGCCTTCTTCCTGACCCATCCTCCTCCAAACCATCAACGTGCCCTAAACATTCTGCCCTTTTTTAAAAATTTTTTTTGCATTTA